AAAAAAAAAAGAAAGTTTAGGCTTGGCGCCTATAGCACAATGGTTACAGCGCCAGTCACATACACTGAGGCTGGCAGGTTCAAACCCACCCCAGGCCAGCTAAACAACAGTGACAAATCCAACAAAAAATAGCCAGGCATTGTGGCAGGCGCCTGTAGTCCCAGCTACTTGGGAGGCTGAGCCAAGAGAACTGCTTAAGCCCAAAAGAGTTTGAGGTTGCTGTTAAGCTGTGATGCCATGGCACTCTACCAAGGGCAACATAGTGAGACTCTGTCTCAAACAAAACAAAACAAAACAAAACAAAACCTGGCCAGAAACTGCAAAAAAGAAAAGTGAAGAAGAAATATCTTCAATTCTTACACAGTTACTATTCAATTAAAAAAAAAAAAAAGAAAGAAAGTCAGATAGCAAAAACTTTTCTTTCTAAGCAAGTAATTATCTCAAGCACAAACGAAAACCCTTGGATCACGCCTATAGTTCATCCTATAAGGGTACATGTGAATCTCTCTAAATGTAGAATATAAATGTCTTAACATAATAACTAAGAGAAAGGCATGAAGCCTATGTTAACCAATTGGATGAAAGTATTTCAAATTGTATACAGAAACAGTACACTGTACCCCATGATAATATTAATGTACACTGCTATGATTTAATAAAAAAAGAAAAAAGAAAACCCTCAGAATCTCTATTGTTTCTAGAAAATGACAAGGAATATATTAGCATCTGGAAATGTCACTGAAGCACTGATTAGGAACAATCTTCAGAGATTTTTTTTACTGCAAATACAACATGTACGTCCCATTAAATCTCAGTCACCTGCCACAGCATTTGATGCCTAGCCTGTCACCAAGCTGCTGCTCCTGCCCCTACAATGCACTTCGCACAGAGACCAGGGCCATCGTCTTAGACCTGGGACTAGAGGCCTCATCTCCCCCCTGCATCAGTGTCCTCATACCGGCAGGCCCTTCCTAACCAGCCCCGAGGACCTATGACCACTCAACTTGAGCTAGGCTGGCCCTTTCAGCTCCTCCACCACACCAAGCTCTTCACTGCCTCCCAGTCTTCCTCTGTGTTCCTTTGGTGAAGTCCTTCCCCAGGCTTTCCCCTAGTTGACACTTTCTCCTCCTTCAGGTCTTAATTTTCTTGACATTCCCATTTAAAGTTGACTTTCTTACCCACTGACATTTCCCAGCATTGATCTGTTGATTTCCTTCATAAGATCTTTTCATTTATTCGTTACCGACCTTCCCCACCAAAACCTCATCCTTGGAAAGGCAGGAGCCTTGTCTGTGTGGATCCCTGCTGTAGCCACCAGCACCCAGCACAGGACCCAGCGTCCTGTCAGGGCTCTTACTAAATAAATGCATTGCATCATCCACCAGTCCTTTCCCTGAGTTCTGTACTTTTTCTGGTGTTCTACCTCACTCATTCTGACTCTTTCTGCTTTGCTGGCACCTGGTTTTCCTCTGCCCCATACTGAAAGTATTCCCCAAGGCTCTGCTCAGACTCTGGATGAATCCATCTACTTACGCAGCTCTAACCGTCATCAGGCGACCCCCAAAGACACGACTCTGGCTAAGCCTTTCTGCTTTGCACTAGTTGTCCGGGATATCCGACTCCGGCACAGATATCTGTCCTTGGGTTCATCACAGTCACTACATGCGTCCAAATAACCTTAGCTCTGCCCAAAATACTACATTCTTCCAATCAAATGAGCTAGAAACAATATGATATCCAGGAAAAAATAGAGCTCAGAGCCAGCCAAGTCTGGATCAAATCCCCTGTTAGGCTGTTAGATGGTCACTTAACTATTCAGAGGCATAGATTTTTTTCATCTGAAAAAAGATAACATTCATGTTGAGCTTGTTATAAAAATTAGTGAATACAAAAAGCCATCTATTATCGTTTAGTAACAGATTTTTTAATTTCTCCAACTCCTCCACATTTAATCTCCTGCCAAACAATATCAATTCTTTTTTGCAATAATACTTATGGTAATAATATATTTGTAATAATTTTACACCAATCCCTTCCTTTCATTTTACTTCCTTCACCTCGGTCCTGGCCCGTAACAAACCACGATGCCGACTTTCACATTCCCTACCCGTTTATCCTACTTTTTATCTACCAGTACTTCAGCCTGAATAATTTCAACTGACCTGTCTCTGAGTTCACTAATCCACTCTTCGGCTAGACCCAACCTGCTATGAATTCCATCTAGTAAATTATTAAATTCAGGCATTGTATTTTTCAGGTCTAGAATCTCTAAGACCGCTTTTCACAGATGTGGTTTCTTGACTGAACTTCTACATCTGTTTTTTTTTCCTATCTTTTCCTTAGCACATAAAACTTTCTTATCTGCTAACTCCAACATAGGGGCCACCTGTGGCTTTGACTGTACTATTTTTTTCCTCTTAGCCATTGCTGAGTTTCCTCTTCTTGGCAACTAACTTTGGTTCTTTTAAACACAGGGCCTCGCACACAATACAAAGACTGGAGTACGTGTGATTAGCCCAGGGAGCACACACCTTCTTCTGACAAAATATAATCATACGGAGACCCTCAGGACCCCTACAAATACTTTTTGCCTTGAGGTTTACTATAGTTGGTATTTAGCATCAGCCACTCTAT